TTCAGTGTTATTTTTTACCCAGGCAATTCCAGGCTCATCTGCTAGTTTTATATATTTCAATTACATTCCATGCTTATATGCATAAGGAACAATGTTCTTTATAATTTGTATTCCATTTTTCAAGTAGCAACATTCTGTTCTCTGTGTATGCTAATATTGCCTGAAGGGGACCATTATAAACTGTCAGAAGTATAGTGTAAATAAATATTTTCTGTACTACCAATAGACAGTTATGTTGTTAATTTTGTACAAAATCAAAGTTTGCATATTTGCATGTATGATGAAAATGTTTTCAGGTTTTCTTCCAGAAGATTAAGCTGAATTTACAAATTGTATTCTATTCATAAATCAATCTGTTATACTATTAATAAATGCTTATAACATAAATCAATTTTTTCCAAACTAAAAATAAGAAATTTTACAGAATAAGTATCAAACTATATTTTTGAAAAGAATCAGAATTGAAAATTGTATTAGAAACAAAACTTTTTAATGGAACTGGTATCAGTATCAGAACATTTAGAAATTTTAGTATTGTCTCATGACTAATCACAATATTTTCACATATCATCAATTTACACTAATTATTCAGTAATATGTACTCTAAAATTTATATAAAACATTAAAAATAAAAAAACTTACCTGTCCAACTACTTTTAACTTTATATATTCTGAATCATTATTCTCTCTATTCTAAAAAAGTAGAAAATTTTATCATTGGAATTATCAATTATGGTCAATTGTATTAAAAATATTAAATGTTTTTTGCAAAATAAAATATTTCAAAATATTTACCCAAAGCAAATAAGAGAGAAATTTCAACAAAGCTAGAGAGATATTCAGAACATATTTTTGCAAAGTTTTTATTTCTTAATTAACATAAAAACATCAGAAAAACAAACTACTATTCTGGTACAAAGTTTTCAAAAATAATTTAAGTCTTTAGAATTTAATGCTGCTAAATAATTCAAATATATTTGTTACATAAATATTTTTTAATAGTTGGATATTGTGTATAAAGAGAATAAGAATCTCAAAACTGAACTGCAGTGAATTGCAAATAGAAAATAAACAAATTTACATTTTCCACTTGCACTTTCAACAAAGAAATTTGGCTTTAAAAAAATGCTATCATATAATGAAATGTAAAATCAGAATAACTTTTACATATATCAGATGACATAGTAGAAAGCTAGTTAAATTAGTCTTAATTGTATCAAAATTCATCTGAAAATCTAGGCTATTAATATAAATTCAACATTGCTTCTCTAGGAGAAAAGATAAAAAGCAGCATAAACTCTAGGTTACTTTGTTTTCTTTGACAATCAGATACAAGAAATGTTAGCAGAGATAATTTATGAGAATGTGAGAAACATTAGCAGCAGTAATAAAGATTTCTCATGTAGTTAAGCAGGAAGAATCCAACTACTTTATTATTATTATTATTATTATTTTAAAAAAACACTTAAAAAATAATATAGTACTTGGATTCTAATAAATTAAGCCCTTTTCATTTGTATTTACTAAAATGCTTTTCTCCATTTAATTTTCTTATGAAACAGATTGGCAAACAAAAATTAATTTTGCATATTTAGTATCAACAAAAAATTTATTGAAATTATTTAATAACCAGCATTAAAAAAATGCATTTTATAGATAAAAATTTTAATCTTGAAAATCTTCACTTGTAAACAAGCATTTAAATTAAAAATGCTTTCTCCCAATGTATTTTTTTAATGGCTCTTAAAAAAATGTTTTTCCATTTGAATAAAAATAGAGTAAAAATTTGACAATAAAATTTTTAAAATAAACTTTGTAAGCAATTCAGGTATTACTCAAACATAAACAGCCGTACCCACTAAACTGCACAAGTGCCGTAACATCAGGGCCGGATCATCGCATAGACAAATGAGACAAATGTCTAGGGCTTGGTCAAACTGTCTTTATAAAAGATTTGTAAATAAGATAGTTTACTTTTCTATTGGACAACTGTATATAATAAAAAAATAAACAAAAATATATTGCTTTTTATATGGTTATTGTGAATTCTAAAATCTAAAGAAAACGTGTTCTTATATTTCTTCTTATTGAAAGTAAAACTCCCAATAATTTAGAATTTTTTTAGCAATAAGAATAATATTAACTATATCACTTGTGGGCTGCAATAGTGGCACAACTCAAAAAATATGACTTTTGAGTTAATGCACTCCCCAGAATTGCAGATTGGTCTTCCTTCCAGCAGCAAAAGCGGCATATCTTATAGTACAGTATTCCACCAAAAGATAGCAGAAGTGTCACTGTTGCATTCTCTGATTTGTTATTTACACTGGCTGCAATACTGGCACTTCTCAAGTCCAAATTGTCCACCTACAACTTCATAATTTGTGACTTGAAAAAAGATGGGCTGGATGATGTCTACTGCTACCTATGGCATGAAGGCAATGGAAAGAAAGGTGCTACTGACATTGGAACATGCTTGTTAAAATTTTTAGAAGAAAAATCTGCTACATGCAAAACAAATGAATTAGAAATAACACTGTATTCAGACAATTTCTGCAAACAGCAAAAAAAATAAATACATTGTTTCCTGTTACTTGTACGCCGTGTCAAGATTTAAAATTAAAAGGATAACACAAATTTCTCATTGTGGGACACACACAAAACAAAGGTGATTGTGTTCACTCTGTAATAGAAAAAACTATTCAACAATCACTGAAATCAGGTCCAATCTACGTTCCACCACAATATGCAACGTTAATTAGGATGCAAGAAAAAAAGGCAAACCTTTCCAACTGTGTGAAATAGGATACGATGACTTTGTTGATGTAAAGGACCTCACAGATAGGACATCTCATAATTTTGTTGTGAACACTGACAATGATAAAGTCCTCTTCAACATTTCTGTACTGAAGGTAGAAAAACAATCATTGGATTGCTTTTTCTACAAAACTTCTTTTAAAAAACTAAGTTTAAAACTGTAAACATCAAAACCTCAAGATCCAGGAGTTTGCAGTTGTTTCAGAAAGTAACACTGAAAAAAGCATACAGCAAACCTCTTCCAATATCTAAGAAGAAATTCGACGATTTACAAAGTTTGATCGCCAGCAATGCAGTACCAAGATGTTATTCAACATTTTACAACAACCTAACATTTGAATCCTAAGAATAGGTTTCACTTTGAAACTTTCATAAAGTTATGGATTTCAATAGTACTGTTTCTTGTTTACATTGTGTTGATTAATAATTAGTATTGGAACATTCATGTATTAATAATTTGTTTACATCATTAATAAAGCTTACGTTTTTGCCTGTACACTCGTTTCATAAGCCACCAACTCCAGAATAGTCCAACATAATGTATTAGAAACATTCAGCAATAGTGGCACATCTCAAAACATCACTCCTGGGAACAACAAAGAGGGTGAGGGGGTACAATTTTTTTAAGATATTATTACTAATTTAACTCTTACGGAGCCATTTAGTACCGTTTAACACTTATTCCATCAATGAATCCTGGGAATGATGCATTTCAATATAAGGTGAAACTTCAAACTCATTTATCTCAAAACTTGATTTTTGGAGTTGTGCCACTATTGCAGCCCATGAGTGATATGTATTCTTAACATCCTGTGAAATATTGTTAGATAATTTTCCTTTTATTTTTTATTAAGCAGCTGCAGTGTCCTTATGCAATTTAATAGAAATAATATTAACAAGATTTATTAATTGAAAGATCCAGGAAGGGGCCCGGTAAGAAGAAAATGTCTAGGGCCCCAAAGTGGGTTAATCCAGCCCTGCATAACATTATTAATAACTTATACAAGATGCATATAAAATTGGCAATGCTTGGATATGGTTAATGAGTTCTATCAATTTCTCTTTTATTCTTTGAGAGGTTAAGAATATTAATTTTGAATTTGTTCTAATTTATATATTCTATATTACACTTCTGAACTGTTAAGTCTAAGATTCTAAGCTGAAGATTGTCAGATTTTGATAAAAACTAATAAAAAGTCGATTTCCTGAAATTGGAAGCGATTTCTTTTTACTTCTCAATGAAAAATATCATTCAGAATAAAATGTGATAAACCCACGTGTTAACCCGACTTGTAATATTTAATTTATTAATTAATGTTATACTATTAAAAGTAACTTTTTTTTTTGTTAAGAATCTTTATAGCTTTGGTGTGAATTATATTTGAAAACACATGCAAAAATGTTCAAATTCGGATATATCATGAAAGATCGTTTTCACTGTAGAGAATAAAACGCCATTATATTAATCTAACTTTCATTGACAAAGCAAATTGGACAGCCTCCAAATAAAATTAAAAAAAAAAAAAAAAATAGATTAACTCAATTGATCATTCAAATTGCTCACGTGCGACTAAATGGACAAATAGAAATGGACAAATTTGAACTTAACACATTACCTGTTCTGACATGATTTGATACTTTCTTTCGAAAAATTTAAACGGAATATTAATCAAAATGTCTAAATAAATTCAAGCAATAAATTAATTAAAGATTGACTTAAAAGAACTGAAAGTAACTCTTTCGANTAATTTAATATAATTTTTTTTGTTATTATATTTTTCAATATATTTATTTTGTTTGTACAAAATAAAAAAAAAATTTTTAACGATACAATAGCCACGATTATTATTATAAAAATTTTCGTTATGCTTAACATTGATGAAAATTCAATGCAAAGCAACATGCAATGGAGAAAATATAAACATGAGATATTATATATTAATATACTATGATCGGGATATACAGTACTAATATACTATTATTAGTACTGTAAGTACTAATAATAGTACTAATATTAGTACTATTTTTTCATACATAATTGGTTATCTGAAAAATCGATTTTCCGAACAACCCCAGTCCCCAATCGATTCAGATAATCAATGCTCTACTGTAGTTAAATTATCATCTTTTCAACTTTTAAATATAAAAACATTAAATGGCCTTTATTTATATAAGTAAATTACCTGTTTTGGTGTTTCATCATCATTAATTCTTCTTCCATCAAAAAGAAATCTTAAGGATGTTACAGGTACTCCCTGTAATAATCAATTACTTTGTCAACATTTCAATCATTTAAAATTATCCTAAAATATTTATAAATCATATACTTACAACTCTCTCACTATAAGATTTCTTTAATTTCCCCATTTGAGTTGTCATTTTCACTCTAAAATGTATTTCATTATTATCCTAATAAAAAAAACAACTTCTATAAGAAATGTGAAATGTACTGTACATTACAGATGATTAAAATCAATTTTTATATTGCTGATTATTTAGCAACGTGAATTGAACTAAAGGATATCACGTTTTTAATTTATCACATTTATGGTATAAACAGTTTGACTATATATATTTTTTATGGGAACCGAGAAAAACAAAAGTGAAAATACAGTGGAACCTCGGTATACGTCTGCTTTAGAATACGTCAAATTCGGAATACATCCTGTTTGGACAAAACAAATTTTGCTTGGTATACGACTTTTGTTCGGTATACGACTTAATTATACGCGCCATCTATGAACAACTGTCGGTGTACTAGACCAGACTAGACATTCATGGTGCCACAGTTTATAACTTTGTTAGATTTCTTCTGATTTTAATTTCTAAGTAAAATTTTATTATTAATCATGAATTGCAAGAAGGCAAATGAAAAGCAACAGAAAACTAAAAAAATCACTAGAATCACAACTGAAAAAAGAGATTGTTGAGAAATATGAAGGTGGCATGCGTGTTCGAGATTTTAACTGTTGCATATCATATTCCAAGAACGACGATATTGACAATCGTGAAAAATAAAGACATTATTAAATCTGCTAACGTTGCGAAAGGGGTTAAATCAATTTCTAAACAGAGATCGAAGACATTAAATCATGTTGAGAAATTGCTTTTGCTTTGGATAACTGAAAAACAGTGTGCTAGAGACACCGTATCAGAAGCAATTATTTGCGAGAAAGCTACAAAAATACATGCTGATCTCATGAAAAATCAAGCAGGAACTAGCCAGGANTTTTTTTTTTTTTTTTTTTTTTTTTTTTTTTTTTTTTTTTTTTTTTTTTTTTTTTTTTTTTTTTTTTTTTTTTTTTTTTTTTTTTTTTTTTTTTTTTTTTTTTTTTTTTTTTTTTTTTTTTTTTTTTTTTTTTTTTTTTTTTTTTTTTTTTTTTTTTTTTTTTTTTTTTTTTTTTTTTTTTTTTTTTTTTTTTTTTTTTTTTTTTTTTTTTTTTTTTTTTTTTTTTTTTTTTTTTTTTTTTTTTTTTTTTTTTTTTTTTTTTTTTTTTTTTTTTTTTTTTTTTTTTTTTTTTTTTTTTTTTTTTTTTTTTTTTTTTTTTTTTTTTTTTTTTTTTTTTTTTTTTTTTTTTTTTTTTTTTTTTTTTTTTTTTTTTTTTTTTTTTTTTTTTTTTTTTTTTTTTTTTTTTTTTTTTTTTTTTTTTTTTTTTTTTTTTTTTTTTTTTTTTTTTTTTTTTTTTTTTTTTTTTTTTTTTTTTTTTTTTTTTTTTTTTTTTTTTTTTTTTTTTTTTTTTTTTTTTTTTTTTTTTTTTTTTTTTTTTTTTTTTTTTTTTTTTTTTTTTTTTTTTTTTTTTTTTTTTTTTTTTTTTTTTTTTTTTTTTTTTTTTTTTTTTTTTTTTTTTTTTTTTTTTTTTTTTTTTTTTTTTTTTTTTTTTTTTTTTTTTTTTTTTTTTTTTTTTTTTTTTTTTTTTTTTTTTTTTTTTTTTTTTTTTTTTTTTTTTTTTTTTTTTTTTTTTTTTTTTTTTTTTTTTTTTTTTTTTTTTTTTTTTTTTTTTTTTTTTTTTTTTTTTTTTTTTTTTTTTTTTTTTTTTTTTTTTTTTTTTTTTTTTTTTTTTTTTTTTTTTTTTTTTTTTTTTTTTTTTTTTTTTTTTTTTTTTTTTTTTTTTTTTTTTTTTTTTTTTTTTTTTTTTTTTTTTTTTTTTTTTTTTTTTTTTTTTTTTTTTTTTTTTTTTTTTTTTTTTTTTTTTTTTTTTTTTTTTTTTTTTTTTTTTTTTTTTTTTTTTTTTTTTTTTTTTTTTTTTTTTTTTTTTTTTTTTTTTTTTTTTTTTTTTTTTTTTTTTTTTTTTTTTTTTTTTTTTTTTTTTTTTTTTTTTTTTTTTTTTTTTTTTTTTTTTTTTTTTTTTTTTTTTTTTTTTTTTTTTTTTTTTTTTTTTTTTTTTTTTTTTTTTTTTTTTTTTTTTTTTTTTTTTTTTTTTTTTTTTTTTTTTTTTTTTTTTTTTTTTTTTTTTTTTTTTTTTTTTTTTTTTTTTTTTTTTTTTTTTTTTTTTTTTTTTTTTTTTTTTTTTTTTTTTTTTTTTTTTTTTTTTTTTTTTTTTTTTTTTTTTTTTTTTTTTTTTTTTTTTTTTTTTTTTTTTTTTTTTTTTTTTTTTTTTTTTTTTTTTTTTTTTTTTTTTTTTTTTTTTTTTTTTTTTTTTTTTTTTTTTTTTTTTTTTTTTTTTTTTTTTTTTTTTTTTTTTTTTTTTTTTTTTTTTTTTTTTTTTTTTTTTTTTTTTTTTTTTTTTTTTTTTTTTTTTTTTTTTTTTTTTTTTTTTTTTTTTTTTTTTTTTTTTTTTTTTTTTTTTTTTTTTTTTTTTTTTTTTTTTTTTTTTTTTTTTTTTTTTTTTTTTTTTTTTTTTTTTTTTTTTTTTTTTTTTTTTTTTTTTTTTTTTTTTTTTTTTTTTTTTTTTTTTTTTTTTTTTTTTTTTTTTTTTTTTTTTTTTTTTTTTTTTTTTTTTTTTTTTTTTTTTTTTTTTTTTTTTTTTTTTTTTTTTTTTTTTTTTTTTTTTTTTTTTTTTTTTTTTTTTTTTTTTTTTTTTTTTTTTTTTTTTTTTTTTTTTTTTTTTTTTTTTTTTTTTTTTTTTTTTTTTTTTTTTTTTTTTTTTTTTTTTTTTTTTTTTTTTTTTTTTTTTTTTTTTTTTTTTTTTTTTTTTTTTTTTTTTTTTTTTTTTTTTTTTTTTTTTTTTTTTTTTTTTTTTTTTTTTTTTTTTTTTTTTTTTTTTTTTTTTTTTTTTTTTTTTTTTTTTTTTTTTTTTTTTTTTTTTTTTTTTTTTTTTTTTTTTTTTTTTTTTTTTTTTTTTTTTTTTTTTTTTTTTTTTTTTTTTTTTTTTTTTTTTTTTTTTTTTTTTTTTTTTTTTTTTTTTTTTTTTTTTTTTTTTTTTTTTTTTTTTTTTTTTTTTTTTTTTTTTTTTTTTTTTTTTTTTTTTTTTTTTTTTTTTTTTTTTTTTTTTTTTTTTTTTTTTTTTTTTTTTTTTTTTTTTTTTTTTTTTTTTTTTTTTTTTTTTTTTTTTTTTTTTTTTTTTTTTTTTTTTTTTTTTTTTTTTTTTTTTTTTTTTTTTTTTTTTTTTTTTTTTTTTTTTTTTTTTTTTTTTTTTTTTTTTTTTTTTTTTTTTTTTTTTTTTTTTTTTTTTTTTTTTTTTTTTTTTTTTTTTTTTTTTTTTTTTTTTTTTTTTTTTTTTTTTTTTTTTTTTTTTTTTTTTTTTTTTTTTTTTTTTTTTTTTTTTTTTTTTTTTTTTTTTTTTTTTTTTTTTTTTTTTTTTTTTTTTTTTTTTTTTTTTTTTTTTTTTTTTTTTTTTTTTTTTTTTTTTTTTTTTTTTTTTTTTTTTTTTTTTTTTTTTTTTTTTTTTTTTTTTTTTTTTTTTTTTTTTTTTTTTTTTTTTTTTTTTTTTTTTTTTTTTTTTTTTTTTTTTTTTTTTTTTTTTTTTTTTTTTTTTTTTTTTTTTTTTTTTTTTTTTTTTTTTTTTTTTTTTTTTTTTTTTTTTTTTTTTTTTTTTTTTTTTTTTTTTTTTTTTTTTTTTTTTTTTTTTTTTTTTTTTTTTTTTTTTTTTTTTTTTTTTTTTTTTTTTTTTTTTTTTTTTTTTTTTTTTTTTTTTTTTTTTTTTTTTTTTTTTTTTTTTTTTTTTTTTTTTTTTTTTTTTTTTTTTTTTTTTTTTTTTTTTTTTTTTTTTTTTTTTTTTTTTTTTTTTTTTTTTTTTTTTTTTTTTTTTTTTTTTTTTTTTTTTTTTTTTTTTTTTTTTTTTTTTTTTTTTTTTTTTTTTTTTTTTTTTTTTTTTTTTTTTTTTTTTTTTTTTTTTTTTTTTTTTTTTTTTTTTTTTTTTTTTTTTTTTTTTTTTTTTTTTTTTTTTTTTTTTTTTTTTTTTTTTTTTTTTTTTTTTTTTTTTTTTTTTTTTTTTTTTTTTTTTTTTTTTTTTTTTTTTTTTTTTTTTTTTTTTTTTTTTTTTTTTTTTTTTTTTTTTTTTTTTTTTTTTTTTTTTTTTTTTTTTTTTTTTTTTTTTTTTTTTTTTTTTTTTTTTTTTTTTTTTTTTTTTTTTTTTTTTTTTTTTTTTTTTTTTTTTTTTTTTTTTTTTTTTTTTTTTTTTTTTTTTTTTTTTTTTTTTTTTTTTTTTTTTTTTTTTTTTTTTTTTTTTTTTTTTTTTTTTTTTTTTTTTTTTTTTTTTTTTTTTTTTTTTTTTTTTTTTTTTTTTTTTTTTTTTTTTTTTTTTTTTTTTTTTTTTTTTTTTTTTTTTTTTTTTTTTTTTTTTTTTTTTTTTTTTTTTTTTTTTTTTTTTTTTTTTTTTTTTTTTTTTTTTTTTTTTTTTTTTTTTTTTTTTTTTTTTTTTTTTTTTTTTTTTTTTTTTTTTTTTTTTTTTTTTTTTTTTTTTTTTTTTTTTTTTTTTTTTTTTTTTTTTTTTTTTTTTTTTTTTTTTTTTTTTTTTTTTTTTTTTTTTTTTTTTTTTTTTTTTTTTTTTTTTTTTTTTTTTTTTTTTTTTTTTTTTTTTTTTTTTTTTTTTTTTTTTTTTTTTTTTTTTTTTTTTTTTTTTTTTTTTTTTTTTTTTTTTTTTTTTTTTTTTTTTTTTTTTTTTTTTTTTTTTTTTTTTTTTTTTTTTTTTTTTTTTTTTTTTTTTTTTTTTTTTTTTTTTTTTTTTTTTTTTTTTTTTTTTTTTTTTTTTTTTTTTTTTTTTTTTTTTTTTTTTTTTTTTTTTTTTTTTTTTTTTTTTTTTTTTTTTTTTTTTTTTTTTTTTTTTTTTTTTTTTTTTTTTTTTTTTTTTTTTTTTTTTTTTTTTTTTTTTTTTTTTTTTTTTTTTTTTTTTTTTTTTTTTTTTTTTTTTTTTTTTTTTTTTTTTTTTTTTTTTTTTTTTTTTTTTTTTTTTTTTTTTTTTTTTTTTTTTTTTTTTTTTTTTTTTTTTTTTTTTTTTTTTTTTTTTTTTTTTTTTTTTTTTTTTTTTTTTTTTTTTTTTTTTTTTTTTTTTTTTTTTTTTTTTTTTTTTTTTTTTTTTTTTTTTTTTTTTTTTTTTTTTTTTTTTTTTTTTTTTTTTTTTTTTTTTTTTTTTTTTTTTTTTTTTTTTTTTTTTTTTTTTTTTTTTTTTTTTTTTTTTTTTTTTTTTTTTTTTTTTTTTTTTTTTTTTTTTTTTTTTTTTTTTTTTTTTTTTTTTTTTTTTTTTTTTTTTTTTTTTTTTTTTTTTTTTTTTTTTTTTTTTTTTTTTTTTTTTTTTTTTTTTTTTTTTTTTTTTTTTTTTTTTTTTTTTTTTTTTTTTTTTTTTTTTTTTTTTTTTTTTTTTTTTTTTTTTTTTTTTTTTTTTTTTTTTTTTTTTTTTTTTTTTTTTTTTTTTTTTTTTTTTTTTTTTTTTTTTTTTTTTTTTTTTTTTTTTTTTTTTTTTTTTTTTTTTTTTTTTTTTTTTTTTTTTTTTTTTTTTTTTTTTTTTTTTTTTTTTTTTTTTTTTTTTTTTTTTTTTTTTTTTTTTTTTTTTTTTTTTTTTTTTTTTTTTTTTTTTTTTTTTTTTTTTTTTTTTTTTTTTTTTTTTTTTTTTTTTTTTTTTTTTTTTTTTTTTTTTTTTTTTTTTTTTTTTTTTTTTTTTTTTTTTTTTTTTTTTTTTTTTTTTTTTTTTTTTTTTTTTTTTTTTTTTTTTTTTTTTTTTTTTTTTTTTTTTTTTTTTTTTTTTTTTTTTTTTTTTTTTTTTTTTTTTTTTTTTTTTTTTTTTTTTTTTTTTTTTTTTTTTTTTTTTTTTTTTTTTTTTTTTTTTTTTTTTTTTTTTTTTTTTTTTTTTTTTTTTTTTTTTTTTTTTTTTTTTTTTTTTTTTTTTTTTTTTTTTTTTTTTTTTTTTTTTTTTTTTTTTTTTTTTTTTTTTTTTTTTTTTTTTTTTTTTTTTTTTTTTTTTTTTTTTTTTTTTTTTTTTTTTTTTTTTTTTTTTTTTTTTTTTTTTTTTTTTTTTTTTTTTTTTTTTTTTTTTTTTTTTTTTTTTTTTTTTTTTTTTTTTTTTTTTTTTTTTTTTTTTTTTTTTTTTTTTTTTTTTTTTTTTTTTTTTTTTTTTTTTTTTTTTTTTTTTTTTTTTTTTTTTTTTTTTTTTTTTTTTTTTTTTTTTTTTTTTTTTTTTTTTTTTTTTTTTTTTTTTTTTTTTTTTTTTTTTTTTTTTTTTTTTTTTTTTTTTTTTTTTTTTTTTTTTTTTTTTTTTTTTTTTTTTTTTTTTTTTTTTTTTTTTTTTTTTTTTTTTTTTTTTTTTTTTTTTTTTTTTTTTTTTTTTTTTTTTTTTTTTTTTTTTTTTTTTTTTTTTTTTTTTTTTTTTTTTTTTTTTTTTTTTTTTTTTTTTTTTTTTTTTTTTTTTTTTTTTTTTTTTTTTTTTTTTTTTTTTTTTTTTTTTTTTTTTTTTTTTTTTTTTTTTTTTTTTTTTTTTTTTTTTTTTTTTTTTTTTTTTTTTTTTTTTTTTTTTTTTTTTTTTTTTTTTTTTTTTTTTTTTTTTTTTTTTTTTTTTTTTTTTTTTTTTTTTTTTTTTTTTTTTTTTTTTTTTTTTTTTTTTTTTTTTTTTTTTTTTTTTTTTTTTTTTTTTTTTTTTTTTTTTTTTTTTTTTTTTTTTTTTTTTTTTTTTTTTTTTTTTTTTTTTTTTTTTTTTTTTTTTTTTTTTTTTTTTTTTTTTTTTTTTTTTTTTTTTTTTTTTTTTTTTTTTTTTTTTTTTTTTTTTTTTTTTTTTTTTTTTTTTTTTTTTTTTTTTTTTTTTTTTTTTTTTTTTTTTTTTTTTTTTTTTTTTTTTTTTTTTTTTTTTTTTTTTTTTTTTTTTTTTTTTTTTTTTTTTTTTTTTTTTTTTTTTTTTTTTTTTTTTTTTTTTTTTTTTTTTTTTTTTTTTTTTTTTTTTTTTTTTTTTTTTTTTTTTTTTTTTTTTTTTTTTTTTTTTTTTTTTTTTTTTTTTTTTTTTTTTTTTTTTTTTTTTTTTTTTTTTTTTTTTTTTTTTTTTTTTTTTTTTTTTTTTTTTTTTTTTTTTTTTTTTTTTTTTTTTTTTTTTTTTTTTTTTTTTTTTTTTTTTTTTTTTTTTTTTTTTTTTTTTTTTTTTTTTTTTTTTTTTTTTTTTTTTTTTTTTTTTTTTTTTTTTTTTTTTTTTTTTTTTTTTTTTTTTTTTTTTTTTTTTTTTTTTTTTTTTTTTTTTTTTTTTTTTTTTTTTTTTTTTTTTTTTTTTTTTTTTTTTTTTTTTTTTTTTTTTTTTTTTTTTTTTTTTTTTTTTTTTTTTTTTTTTTTTTTTTTTTTTTTTTTTTTTTTTTTTTTTTTTTTTTTTTTTTTTTTTTTTTTTTTTTTTTTTTTTTTTTTTTTTTTTTTTTTTTTTTTTTTTTTTTTTTTTTTTTTTTTTTTTTTTTTTTTTTTTTTTTTTTTTTTTTTTTTTTTTTTTTTTTTTTTTTTTTTTTTTTTTTTTTTTTTTTTTTTTTTTTTTTTTTTTTTTTTTTTTTTTTTTTTTTTTTTTTTTTTTTTTTTTTTTTTTTTTTTTTTTTTTTTTTTTTTTTTTTTTTTTTTTTTTTTTTTTTTTTTTTTTTTTTTTTTTTTTTTTTTTTTTTTTTTTTTTTTTTTTTTTTTTTTTTTTTTTTTTTTTTTTTTTTTTTTTTTTTTTTTTTTTTTTTTTTTTTTTTTTTTTTTTTTTTTTTTTTTTTTTTTTTTTTTTTTTTTTTTTTTTTTTTTTTTTTTTTTTTTTTTTTTTTTTTTTTTTTTTTTTTTTTTTTTTTTTTTTTTTTTTTTTTTTTTTTTTTTTTTTTTTTTTTTTTTTTTTTTTTTTTTTTTTTTTTTTTTTTTTTTTTTTTTTTTTTTTTTTTTTTTTTTTTTTTTTTTTTTTTTTTTTTTTTTTTTTTTTTTTTTTTTTTTTTTTTTTTTTTTTTTTTTGCAATCCAGCAACGAGTTGCCTAACTTTACCGGCAAAAAACATTAAAATTTCATGTGGCGCCATCTATTGTGAGATTTTATAATGAAATGGCATAAAAGTTAATTTTGATGGTAGAGATGAGTTTCATAAAAACATTATAAAATGCTAATAAAGAGTAAAATCGCCATCAAGTCCGACTTCACTCTTAATAATACACACGACCTCCTTTATCTCCCCATTCCTTGACCTTTAACCATAACATCTATGCCCCTAATACACAAACATTCCCCCAAAATTTCAAAAATTTTCGACAAAAGACACAGGGGTTATTAATTAAGCTTTAAACTGGGTAAACACATATAAGTTATATATATATATATATACATACACATACAGAAAAATCCCGCAAAATGTTGCATTTCTAGACATTTAAGGGTTCCTCGATTCCAAAAATGTAAACATCTCGGGCTTCATTTCTTTCGATCGATCGCCATACTTTACAGATGATCAACAAAAATATGGAATTTCATAAATTATAATTAGAACAAATATGCCGGTCTTAAAGCCAGAACGTACAGTACAATTTATAAATTATTTTAATAAAAAAAATGAATGGAAACAGTCCTTTTTTTTAAACAAATTACAGTAATATTAGTCCAACTATTTTATAAAATTAAAAAAAAAAAAAAATAGATTAACTCAATTGATCATTCAAATTGCTCACGTGCGACTAAATGGACAAATAGAAATGGACAAATTTGAACTTAACACATTACCTGTTCTGACATGATTTGATACTTTCTTTCGAAAAATTTAAACGGAATATTAATCAAAATGTCTAAATAAATTCAAGCAATAAATTAATTAAAGATTGACTTAAAAGAACTGAAAGTAACTCTTTCGAATGATAAATTACGTTTGAAAATATCTTTCCCGGTCGACCGTTAACGCATTTAAACTAAAGCTATACACGAATCAAAAGGAACAATGATTAGTAAGCACCGAGAAGATGCGATATTATTTATTTTACAAGCATTACATTTACAAACGGCTTCTTTGTTTTTTGTAAATATATAAAAATTTTTCGTGGTTTTTATTTATATTAAAATTACTATATTTCGTAGCGACATGCGCAAATACGTAATTGAATGGTGTGATGTCATCGATGACGTCAGCGATTGTTACGTAGCGAGTGTTTACGAAAGAAGTAGTGTTACGTAGGGTACTGTACAAATGTGGTGCCGATAGAGACAATAGCGTGTTGTTATTGATGATTAAAACTTTTATTTTACTCGAAATGGTATTGATGGCCTGTGAAAATATGTAGGCGTTAAAGTATATCATATATAAATCGAGTGATTATGAATTCGGAACAAATGGTTATTAACTCCCCGTTTGAAAAAAATCCCAAATTGAAAGAACAATTAATGCAAGATCTATTAAAGGCGAAGGTAATGCAACTCTGTTTGTCAACCATTTAGTTTATTTTCAAATTTTAATAAAATATACATTCATATATTCTCATATATAACAGGATAATGAAGAAGAAACCCCATTGTTTTTGTTTGAACAATTAGAAAAGTGGCTTACCAGTCCACCAGCTTACACTACTGTCAGAGTAAATACTGTATTAATAGATGTTGCTACAGCACTAGAAAAGCTTAAATCTATCTTGGTTCAGGTAAATTTATGATGTATATAAATGCAATTTTATATCCAATTTTTTTTTTAATTAAATGCAATAAAAGAAAATAATACCTTGCTATTAAGTTGGAAGAAGCCTTTCGTTAAATCCTTGATTAAACATTCTTTGAGAAATTTATTTCTCATCTTCAGATTGAACAAATAACAGTTAAAACTTTTGAATCTGAAACATCTCTGAGTTTTTAAATCTTTAGAATATATGGAGGTATTTAAAGAAAGGACTCTTTGAATGTAACAGCAAGGTATTATTTTGTTTTTTATTAAATATATTTCTTATTTAGACTGTAAAGTTAAATATATTTTTTACATTACTTTCTAATCTACAGTGTAATTTTTTTACTCTTAGTAATTCATTTAACTCTTAAAATCCATTATGTAATAAAAAATACCTATCTGTAAATCAATGCTTGTATGTTTTTTTTTATTTTGATGATAAATTCTCTAGATTGTGGTTTGGATGGCCAAAGTGGTTAAGATGTCACTACTCTAGGGACTCAAGGTTAAATTCAGGTGGTCAAAACACTCTGGGAATTTTTTTGGGATGATCTGTCCCAGATATGTTGGGCCCTGTCCCTTGCCATCTGGCTGTCTCCATTGTGGGCTTGCTAAATTCATATTGGGTATGATTAAAAGGCCCTCTTGTTGCCTACAGGGCAGAAAGAGTCAAAAATGAGGAAAAAACTTTGTGGGCTGAGCTATTTCTGATGAACCACGTTCTCTCCATGTTCATTAGAAACATCTCTTAGGTTGGCGTGTAAAAAATTTTAATGTGAATGCAGGAAATGCACCTTGACTGATATATTGTAATCCAGTGTTTGGTAGGACATTACCAACTTCTCCATGATTTCCTCATAGTTGTTAGTTCTTACATTCCCCAAAAAGTTTTTGCTCACATTTTTGAATGCATTAAGTTTTTCTTTGAAACTAGGATCCTTCAAAAGCTGTCTTACTTGGGAACCAACAAAAATTCTATCCTTTACTTTTGCATCACTCATATGAGAAAACTTTTGCTTCAGGTAAGCAAAGTCTTCTCCTTCTCTACCCATACCTGTCACAAAGTTTTTCATTAAACAAGCTTGATATGAAGAGGAGATAAGAGGATTTTAGTTTACTCCACTAGAGCAGGAAAAGCAATATTCTTCTGACCTTGTACATTTACTGGGCAGTTGGGCCACGTTATTGCCAAGTAGTGACTGGTTCTTGCTCAACAGTCCCATTTACACAAAAAAGCAGCAGAATTTAGTGTATCCTCTTTGAAGACCTGTTATCATTGCAACAACTTTGAGGTCAGCACACACATTTCACTTATGCTCATTGTATTTTATCTTGTTTTTCATTACCTTCATGTTGTCATAAGTTTCTTTCATGTGAACAGCATGAGTAACCAGAATGGATGGATGTTTGTTGTCATTGTGCAGCAAAATCCTTTAAGGCTGAACTTTGATGAGTCAATAAAGAGTGTCCACTCTGTGGGATCCTGTGACAGCTGAAGCTTCTCCAAGAAATGCGGTATATTGTTGCAAAAAATGATATTGTCCTCCATTGAAAAAATTTCACATTTCTGGTTCTCTTTTTCTGACGATTTGTGACATTAATCAAATATAATTTTTCTGATTTTATTTCTTTATTTTATATTCAAACAACACTAACAAGTTTGTCTAAGAAGCATTTTTCTGCAAAAAATAGTATTTTTATAAAACTTGGGGTAATAGAAGATTTGAGACTTCAGATTCACATTCAGCACACTAAAATACATAAAAAATATTGCATTTTCTTTTATGAGAGGATTTTGATGCAGAACAGTATAATCAATCAAAATGCAATCTGGCAATGTGAAAATGCCACAATGCATTGTGGATGCTTAGGACGCATTTTTTTTATGCAACGAAAATGTAGCATAAAGCAGCAACTACTGCATGGTATTTTACAAATGCTTGTTGCTGAAGCAAAATGGATGCTGTCCCTTGTTCACTAATTTCTAGTTTAGAAAGCAATGTATTATTTAAAGAATTACAACACAATAAAAAAAGGATGTATGAAAATTTAATGATTGGCATCACTGTTTCTAATGAATGTAAAAATCTAAGCGACAGAAGATAAGAAATTACGTTGAAGAGGTAGTACCAGTACATTCATATTCTATGGATGACTTTAAATCTCATTTTAGATGCATGAAAAGTTTAACAGAAGTAAGTTTTTAACTTAAAATAAGCTAATATTAATTTCTAAATTAACTGATGATTCATTTATTCTTATAGGAAACTAGCAGATAAGCATGGTGTTGCTTGGGCAAAAAATAATGATAGCGAAGATTAAGATTATTACATTACAGCCAATCTTACCCGTTTTCACAGAATGCAAGAATTAGGTTCCCCTGTTTCTAGACTAATTAGAAAATTTTTAGATGGGTCTAAAATTATGTTCAATTTAATGCAAAAAACTGCATCTGCACCTGTAAATCTTGTATGTTGCTTTCTCTTAACACTTCCATTGCCTTAATCTTGTCTCTTTCCCCGCGGGAGGATTTAAAAAAATCCGTTGTTAGTGTGTGTTCTTGTGACGTACCCTAACTGTGTACCGAATTTCAAGTTTCAACTCCTAACCATGCTGAAATGCTCACGATGAAATGCTTGTATACACGCATGCCATCTATCGTAGGATAAATGTACTCTGCCAGAAATCTTCGTAGGAGTGTATTAATTAAATTAAACAACTTCCCAAAGTTTCATGGCAATCAGATAAACAGTGTAGTAATGCATGAGGGACAGACAGACATAAATTCATTTTTATACACAGTGGTACCTCAGGATACGAAATTAATCCGTTCCGAAACTGAGATTGTATCATGAAAATTTTGTAAGGTGGATCATCTTTTCCCATACAATTACATGTAAAACCAAATAATTCGTTCCAACGCGAAAAACATACTCAAATTAAAGCCGAGTAATACATTTAAAAAAAATAACTGTAGTAAGAAAAACAAATGAAAAATGCGAACTAATGTAACGTCGTATGGTGAGTTTTTGTTCGTATCGTGGAGCAAAAATATGTTCGAATTTCATGTCGTATCCTGAAAATTTCGTATGCTGGGGCGTTCGTAACCTGAGGTACCACTGTATATAGATTATTATAAAACTAATAAATTCAAAGAGAGAAATGAATGTAAAAAATGGGTGACCTCTTATTTCTCCTACAAAGGAAGTATTATTAAGTATTTGGACTCTTGCTAATCAAGAGTCATTTAGAAGTATTGGAGATAGATTTGGTGTGAATAAAGGTCATGTGCACACAATCTTTATAGACTTCTGTCAAAAAATGTGTGGTATGATTGGCAAGTTTATTCGATGGCCAATTGATAATTTGGAAACAACAGTTCATAAATTTGAAGAATTACATACGGTTTCATTGCCTGGAATAATTGGGTGCATTGATGGAACACACACACACACAAATACACACACATATACACAGTGCGGCAATTATATTCCAAGACTGGATCTATAAAAATGAAACAAAACAATTTTATTCAAATCTTTTTATTAAATTACTAGCAGGTGGGCCCGGCGTTGCTCGGGCAAAAGTAACGATAACTAAGATAAAGATTATTATGTTACAGTCAACCTTACCCGTTTTCACAGAATGCAAGAATTGGGTCCCCTTGTTTCCAGACTAATTAGAGAATTTTTAGATGGGTCTAAAAATATGTTCGATTTTCCGCAAAAACGAAAAAAACTGCATCTGCGTATTGCACGTCGCTTTCTCTTAACAATTCCATTGTTACGTAACATT